TAAGATTTTATTTATTTGACAGAGAGAGAGACACAGTGAGAGAGGGAACACAAGCAGGGGGAGTGGGAGAGGGAGAAGCAGGCTCCCAGCTGAGCCAGGAGCCCTACGCGGGGCTCGATCCCAGGACCCTAGGATCATGACCTGAGCTGAAGGCAGACGCTTAACGACTGAGCCACCCAGGCACCCCGTAAAGAATTAAGATTTTTGGGGCAACTGGGTGGCTCAGTCATTAAGCATCTGCCTTCGGCTAGGGTCATGATCCCAGGGTCCTGGGATCGAGCCCCGTGTCAGGCTCCCTGCTCAGTGGGAAGCCTGCTTCTCCCTCTCCCACTCCCTCTGCTTGTGTTCCCTCTCTAGCTGTCTCTCTCTCTGTCAAATAAATAAATAAACTCTTAAAAAAAAAAGAATTAAGATTTTTAAAAATATATGTATCTTGGCAAAAGATAATCACACAGGAACTGTTGACATTAAAAGACATAGGTTAAGCTATTTTAAATAGACAATTCAATTACTATCTTGATTCAGAACTAATAAAAGCACTAATTTCCTATGGAGTTCTCTGTATGAAATAGAAGAGTGATTTCAGGAATGCAACTGTGGGTGGTTGTACCAGTACAACTCAACATTACAACAGTAATAGTAATGATATATATTAATGTAGCTAGATTATGTACCACACTAGGAGTACGTGGAGGTCAATATCAACCACTACTGAAATACACCACTCATTCACGCAAGTGTTAATGGCAATTCCAGCAAGCATTAATAATCTGAAATCATGTTCCTTGAAGCAAGAGGCAGTACAATCTGTTTCATGTATATCCTATCATTGGTACCTATTATTATGATAGCCACTCAGTGGGAACTCAGAAGTGCTTAACTAATTACCATATTTATTTACACTGATTAAAATCAGAAATGTGTACTTGGGGGGAATTAAAACGGGAAGAGAAATAAAATGTTTATGTAAAGACATTAGAATTATAGGTTAATTTTTGAGTTCTTTTAATGTTGTTCTAGTATCCTATTAAAAGATGTTAAACTATTAACTTCACAAAAATATTCAATAAAAGGGTTATTACAATAATAATGACAATCTGCTAAGATTTATTGAGTATTTACTATGTATCAGCATTGTAAAAACTCATGTATAGAAACAAAAGACATACAATCCTTTTCTCTGGGAAGTTCATTCTATCGATCCCTCTCAATAAAATAAATTCAATTGATCCTTCTCAATTAAAACAATGCTTAAATGCGTTAATACTGAGCTGTGGGTGAGTGTCTCAGAGTACTTTCTGACTTTATTGGTTTACTTTATCTTGCGATCTCCTGAAAAACCTTATTATTATTAGGGAGACTATTTAGAGGACCTTTTGAGGCCCTTTTCATTTCTATGACGCTACTGTCAATGTTAACTGATCTTCAGATTCCATGCATGATTTCTGAGCTGACTCTGTCCAGTATTTCAAAGAGAGAAAAATCTGTCAAGGAACAGGCTTCATAAGCAATGATCCCTATACCTGGTAGATGATGAGAACCAAGAAACTTTTTAAAAATAAGAATTCCCAAACTCCAAACCAGATTACTAAATCAGGATCTCCAGAGCTGAGATCTGGAAATCTGAATTTTTTAGAAACTCGTGGGTAGGTCTGATGATCAAAAAAAAGAGACCAATATTGAAAATACAGACACCCTGGCTTCAAGATTCTAGACATTTATTTTATGGAGCTGATGGGCTGACAGAATAGTATGCTACTGACTTCTAAACATGGAAGAAATTATACACAAATAGGGCTTCAAATAAATATGTATACCAGCCAGTTTTATTCATAGGGGTTTTTAAATAACACTGTAAAAAATGTTTCTAACTAGAAATTAATATAATAATTAAAATCTATTTGAAGTAAACCTCATGGTTAACAGATTATCTTTATAAAAAGCTTCCCTAAAGAAGTATTATTCTGAGGAAATAATTTTATGAAATTATTCACAGAAACTACTAATTCACTACTGGAGATATAAGCTTTCCCGTCAGCAGTCTTACAGATGTTAGAACTAGAAGACATATTCTGAACAACTCAATTCCTAGATTTCTGGATGGGGGAATAGAGGCCCAGAAAGGCTGAAGTAATTTACTGAAGGTCAAGCAACTACTTAGTAGCAGAGCCAGGATTAGATCCTAAGTCTTCTACAAGGTGTTTTTCCTTAAACAAACAATAAAAACATAAAGATTATCATTTTTCTAGATGTTTACAGAAAGGTCTAAAACTTCTAGATTCAAAAGCTGAATTTATCTCTGTAGGATTGTGATCTAATTTTTGTTGTGTTTCTGTGCTCACTTACTTTCTAATTTGTCTACAAAAAATACATATTAATTAATAATATAAGGCAATTTAAAAAAATAAAATCTTACCATTTCGTCTGGTGTTCCATGGCGATCAAACTGGTAAAGTGATGCTACATGAGTGACGATCCACCAACTAAAACCTAATGGATCCCTGGGCTGGATTACAGGCACAGAAGGTCGTCTTCGGTCACTTGATTTTTCAAAGAGTGTTTTAAGTAGTTTATTCAACCAGTTCCAAAATGACTATAGAAAGAGAGGTAGTATGATTCAATTAAATAAAGAACATAACCTTTGGTTTGGGCTTTTTCCACCATTTGCACAAATATACACACAAAAAAAGAAAACAGAACACGTTTATAAAACTTAAATAATAATAAAAACACAAGAACTAGAGCCTAATTAGTACTTTACAAAGATTCTACATGTTCCACAATCACATCTTCTGCTGTCCAGGGGTAGCCATTATCCTGACCTTCATAATAAATCATCCCCCCTCCCTTTTTTGTTTTGTCACACAGGTATATAAGCCTAAATCATATATCGTTTGGCTTTCCACCACTACTTTTTTTAATGCGTTTGTATTCTTAAGTGGTCTAATTCTATTCTTTCATAACTTGCTTCTTTTCCTCAACATGTGTTTCTGAGATTCATCCACTTTAATGAGTATAGCCCCAGCTCATCAGAGTATTCTAATATATGACTATATGGTAAACCATTTACCTGATATACTGTTGTTGAACATTTGATGAGTTTTTAGTAAATTTTTTTTTCTAGGTATTTGTCCATTTCATAAACCTATTCAAGTTATTAGGCATACAGTTGATGACAATACCTCAACTTTTAAAATATCTGCAGAATCTGAAGTCATGTTTCTTTTTAAATTTCTAGTATTGACTGTAATAATTTCAGGAAAAATTAGCCAATTTTAGTAATCTTTTTGAAGAGCCAACTTTTGACTGTTTTGATCATTTTCATTGATTTGATCATCTTTGTTATTTTCAATTTCATAAATCTGTGTTAGTTTTATTTGCTACCTTTTACTTTCTTTGGGTTTATAATGCAGGGATTTTCTTCCCTAACTTTGTGTGTGATGAATTCTTAGCTCATTGATTTTCAACTTTTTTTCCCCCTCTAACATCTGTATTTAAAGTTATAAATTTCCCTCTGTATCATTAGCTACAGTCCCAAAGCTTTAACTAGTATGTTAGTTATCATTTACTTTGAAATATTTTACAATTTCAATTATATCTTCTTTCACCTATCTCAGTATTTCTATGCATATGTATATCTCTCCTTGTAGTTCAGGCAATTTTTACTTTCTACATTTACTACTTTGTTCTTAGCCACATAAAAATGTTAATTTACTTTACCTTCCTGATAAGTTGAACCTTTTATCAGTACACAATGACTTAATGCTTTTGTTGGTTTTAAAGTCTAATTTTCTCCAATATTAGTGTAATACGTTACCTTTCTCACATCTTTTCCTATCAATTCTGAGCCCTTCTGCATTTTTTTAGATTACCCCTTGTAAACAGCTTACATTCTGTTCTGACAGTGTATCTTTTAAATGAGCATTTCAGTAGTCCACTTGCAGTTAATGACTCATACATTTAGTTTTAAATCTACCATCTTATTCTGTATTTGTTTGTATACCTATGTTTTCCACAAACACCCCTTTCTTGAGTTCTTTTGGGTTAAATATTTCTTTTCTTCCCCCTCTACTAGCTTGTAAGTTAAAGTCTACTTTCTCTTCTTTCAGTAATTACCTTAGAAATAATAGCATACATCCAAATGTCTTGATAATATATATCTTTGCTCTTCTCTTAGACAAAATAAGGACCTTAAATTCATTTATTACCTATCCAATTTCTAGGCCAGTATTACTGTGTACTTTAACTCTCTTTTTTAAATTCCAGTAGATTATATTACTGACTTATACAAAACATTTACTACTTTCTTTGTGCTTTATTCCTTCATACATCACACCACCTCCTCCCTTCCCCAATTCAGGCATCATTCTTCTAAAATATATCTTCTAGAATTCCCTTCAATTCTGCTTCATTGACAATAGCTTTGTTTCACCTCACTCTTGAAAGATTTTGTTGGTAAAAAATTTTAGGTTGACAACTACTTTGCTTTAATACAATGAAGGTACCAGTCCACTGGCCTCCTTTGCTTTTGAGAAGTCAGTTTACAGTCTAATTGTCACTCTTTTGAAGGTAACATAATTTTCTGTCTGAATGCTTTTAGCTCTTCTCTTTGTCTTTGATGTTCTGCAGTTTCACCATGATGTATCTAGGTCTGCTTTTCTTTTTTTATTCACCCTGCGTAGAACTGATTGGGTTTCTTAATATGGTAACTTTCATTAACACTGGAAAAATTTCTGCCATTTTCTCTTCAAGTATTTGCTCTGTTCCACTCTCTACTTCCTCTCCTTTGGGACTACAGATAAAAGCATTATCAGACTTCCTCTGTATTCTCACATGCTGCATTTAGCTACCAGGTCTCTTCTATTTCCTTTCATCTGTAACAGTTCTTCAGTAATTATCTTTCATAATTTCATAATTAGATTCACAGTATACATTTTTCGCAAGAATACCAAAGAAACATTTTTCTTCTTTCATTGCATCATATTGAGGGTACATAATATCAATTTGTCCTATTATTGGTTAACTTTGATCACATGGCTAAGATGGTATCTGCCAGATTTTCTACACCATAAAGTTATGGCTCCCCTTGTAATTGGTATTGTATAGATACAGCAAGCTGTGCAATTATTCTGTTTTTCATCATACTTTTGGCAGCCACTAAGGATTCATGCCTGAAACAATTACTAAGGAGGTTGTCAACTGGTGATTTTCTAATTCCATCAACATCTACATTTATTAGGAAGAACTCACCTTCCCTCTATTTATTTATTTATTATTTATTTATTTGTTTATTTATTTATATCAGTATGGAACCATAAACACTTATTGTATAGATCACAATCCTTTGTTATCTTTTGTTTCTCAAATTATCCTAGGTTTAGAGTGTGGGAGATCTTCATGTTGGCTCTTTGTCCTTTTGACTTGTCCTCATTATTTTCTGAGTACCTCCTTATTTTCCGGTACAGAATGTTCCAGTCTCATTTTTCATTTTCCATGCATCAGTGTGGAAGATCAAGACATTTGCCAAAGGAGCTTTGTTTCTTTTCAATGGAGGTTAGTAATTTCAAGACCAAGACATTGCAGTTTCCTCATTGTTACTCAGATACCATCGTTTGTAGGTCCACCTAGTGGATAAGGTAGGGAATGCATGTACGTACACACAAATCTCTACCTAGTTCCAATTATTAAAAAACATTATTTCATACTGATCTCTCAAATTCCATTCCAACACATTATCTTTCACTCTATCTTTCCCTCTTTCCATATTTATAACTCAATTTTCCAACAGTGGCAAAGCTGGTTCTTAATTACCCATAATGTACTTATTAATTTGCTCAGTCCTAGAGTACAAATATCTAGAATTGCTAACCCATATATAACACTGTAAGACAAATCTACAAACAAGAGTCCAGGATCTGAAGTTCGTTATAATTCTTTTGTCTTTAGCCTTAGAGCAAATTGTCAAAGTAGTGCATTCCAAGTCCTCTAGGTCAGTTCCCTCCCGACCCCGGCCCCCATAGCTACTCCCATGTGTTATTCACTTGTAATACAGTTAGGTTCAAGTGTTTTTCTTTATATTCCACTGAATTCCTCTTCTGTACACGTTGATTTATTTCTGGAGCATGTTAAAAATTAACATGGTTCTAATGTCATAACACATTCAAACCCTTCTACTCCATTTGTCACTCACCAATCTCCCATTCCTACTCACCAATTTCAATAGTTCCTCATTTGTCTTTCCAGTATTTATCTGGGACAACTAAGCATACACATTTCCTATTTTCCCCTTCATACACAGAAGGTGGTATCCTATAAGTATTCTTTTGCACTTTGCTTATTTAACAATAAGTCCTGGAAATCAAACCATTATCAGTTCAGATATTTTATTCATTCTATTGAACAAATACATAATACTCTAATGTGCTAATAAACCATGGTTTTACTCTCCTGTGTATGGGCATTTAGGTAGTTTTTAACAATGTGCTTTTACAAATAATTCAACAAAGAGCCTGAGGCATATGAATTTTTGAATTGCTGTAGGTATATACTAAAGGTAAACTTCTACAAGTGGGAATGCTAGGGTCAAAGTTATAAAATTCTTGGCCCATACATTTTGAATCATTGTGTTGTTGTTTTTGGTATTGATGTTTTTGTTTCACAGAAAATTTTTACAAGAATCTTTTTATAATGCTTAAAGGTGGCAACATATATAAATTTACACATACATGTGGCAGCTGAAATATAATGTATACAGGTCAGAAACTACTAGATTGCACATGGCATCGCACAGGTGTCCCCTGCCTTATTTGTGGCACTTTGGGGAGTGCACCTAAAATATATTTAGGTCTGTTTCCCCAAAAAAGGAGTGCATTAATTTAGCTATTCTTTTCTTTTTCTTAAACATGCATTTTCTTACATAATCATGTGGTAGGAAAATAACATGGGCTGTAGCATCAAATAAATCCACACTGGAAGCCCCGTTTATCATATTCTGACTGTTATATGAACAGTTTACTTAACCTCACACCCATTCTACTTGCTGGCATATAAGAAGTATCATTCAAGGAATATTAATTTGCTTTCCTTCTCTGAAATTGAAGTCTAATTGATGTTTACTAGATAGTGAGTGTTGGGTTTTTAGGAAACAGTCATACACATAGATCCAGCATTTAGAATATTTCTTGGAACACAAATATGTGCTTGATCAAATTAGTTTACTTCCATTCCTGGAATTCCCATCTAATTTGGGGTGTATGTGAATTTCCAAACATTCCTGAGTCTCTCTTAGGCTTCTCTAATTGCTTCTTGGGAAGCATCATCCTGTTGGCTTCACAGAAGTCAGCAGCAGCCCAGGCAACATTTGAAAATAACTTAAAAATCCTGAACAGCCTCTCCCCTTCGGATAATTTCCTTAGAACATTAGTCCTTCGAACACAGACCTGGTTGCAGAAAATGTCTCTTTCTCAGCAGGAAAACTCCAAATCCCATTCAATCTTCACCTCCCTCATTCTAGGGATGGGGTGGGGGAGGCAAGGGATAGGGAGAAGGAATCAAATACTTCTTTCTGGAAGAATGTTAGCATGCGTGTGTACAGGCATGTGCACACACAGGATTTCCTCTTTTAAAAACATAATGAATACATTGTATAAATCAGTGCTGCCACATAACAAAGTTTCAAAATCTTTGTACAAGATGAAAAAAAACAAAAAACAAAACAAAACAAAACCTCTGCCTTCAGTCTGGAAAGCTTGTAAGAACAGGCCCTATGTGGAGCTCAGCCGGCTGTCAACATTCAGGGAATGATCCTGTCTTCTGTGATATCATTAACTCCCAGGTGGATGAAGCAGAGAAGCTGCCCTGCTTTTCCTGAAATTTTCAATTGTTTTTTCTGTTTTTCTTTCTTGGCTTATCCTCATCCATCTCCATCCCCAAAGACACTGCATGTCAGATAGTCAGTACAAAGAGTAATTTTTAACTTGCTTCTTTATTGTCTTAGAAGAAACTTTCTGTCATTTTGTTTCCTTTTGGTTTGGTCACTTTTTCTTGGTCTTGAGCTTTCTATCAAGGGAGTATCTCACAGTTTCGGTCCATATAATATCTATACAGTAAAGAGATGAGACCTACATCACTTTTTTCTAAGCTGAGGGCTGCTCTGTTGTGTCATACTGTTTATTCATTCCGGAGGCTGGAAGTCCAAGATCAGGGGTCCATCATAGTGGAGTCAGGGCCCTTCTCTAGATAACAGATTTCTGGCTGCGTTGTCACAAGGAGGAAAGCTTTCTGAGTCTTTTTAAATGTTAACTTGTTTTTTATGATGTTTTTGAAAAGTCTAGTGCAGGTCAAATTACTTTGCTCTTGTAAGTTATTAGGTGTTTTTGTCTAGAAAATTTGATAATTTCCTAAAGGACCTAAAGTCATTTTCTGTATTTTTGAAGTCAAGTAGTTTTAACAGGATATACCTTGGGATGGATTATTTGGAGTTAATCTTTCCAGTGATCTGGTAGGCCCTTTCAATATGTAGAATTAGTGTTTTTTTTTTTTTTTTTTTTTTTTAGGAATGTTTTCTTGGATAATAGTTTTGAATGTTAGCTATATCCTATTCTGTTTTCTTCTTTAGGGACTCCATTTATATATACAGCTGTTTCTTCTTTGCTTATCTTCCATTTCAGCTATTTTCTAACTCTTTATATTCCTTTCTTCATCTAATTTTTATTCCCCTGGTTGTTTTCTGTCTTTCTTCCATACCCCTGATTAAATTTTCATTTGAGTATATTCTTCTTGGGCACCTTGTCACTTATTCAACTCTAAAATGATTTTTCTTTCATTTCTCTCCTGCATTCCACTTACTCTTTCCATTCACTTCTGGCTTTAGTCTACTTGTTTTTAACAACTAAATATCTTATTCAGGGTGTTTTTGTACAGCCCCAAATGCCTGCCTGTTTAATCTGGAGTGTTATAATTTTCTTCTGTTTCACAGTTGTTTCTTGGAGAAAGGGTTCATCAGCTAAAGTGTATCAATTCTGTTTCCTAGTAGTAAGTTTATAAACACTTGTTTCAAAGTTTCTTTTTCCTTTTTTTCATTTAGTAGATTTAGACTACTTTAAAAGATTTCTAGTTCAGTGGAGCCCTCTTTTGCCAATGTACCAAAGTCCCATTTCTTTCCTGGATTTCCTTTCTTTTTTGGTGGTGGTGGTAGGAGAGTGGGTGTGAGAATTTTGATTTTGTTTTTCTAGATCATTTTACCCTTTTATTTCCTTTCACCTCCCAATAACCAAGGGTACCATTCCTTTTTTTGCCTTTTTATTCTCCAGAAGGTCTACCTTCAAAGAGTGCCTCCTCATGTCATATACACACTTTCAAGTTCTAGCCCATTCTCTGACTTACAAGGAAACAATCTCAGTATTTTCACAAACTGGCAGTGGTTTTAGACCAATTTGAGGACTACCGCTAGCATTTTTTCTCAGGCTGCCCTTGCTTGCTAGAAAGCTTTATGGTAGAGCTTTGGTGGTGGTTTTTACCGTTAACGTTTTTATCATTCCTATCTTGTAGTTATGCTATCAACGTGTGTGTGTGTGTGTGTGTAGTTTTATTTGTTCTTGCTATTCTATATTTTGGGGGGGAGTTACTAGGGGAGATACAGATTTAAGTATCTACCCATTGTCTGTGGCTGCTTAGAAGTTACTGGCTTGGTCATGATCCCAGGGTCCTGGGATCGAGTCCCGCATCGGGCTCCCTGCTCTGCAGGGAGCCTGCTTCTCCCTCTCCCACTCCCCCTGCTTGTGTTCCCTCTCTCGCTGTGTCTCTCTCTGTCAAATAAATAAATAAAAATCTTTAAAGAAGTCACTGGCTTGAGATTTTTAGTACAATCTAGGCAACAGCAACTCAGGCTATAAAGCTGTATGAGGGCTGGCTTGCAGTAACAAATATACTGAAGAAATTTTAAACTGCAAGGCATCACAGTAAAAGACATGCAATTTTCCTTACAAATTTAGTTGAGTTTCTAGTTCATCCTTTTGGGGGCCCAGATTTATGGGTAGTCAGTATATCAGTAGGCTACCAACTTGGGTTAACTCTGACCTCTGTCTTCTATTCTTTTACCTTATAACGTATGAAAGCTAATGTTCAAGTTTATACAATTTAACAACTGCTTATAAGGTTATGGGGCAGTTTCAGTGTTCAGGGGACCTGAGTTCCCACCCACATTTAGTATTTGACCAAGAGTATTTGACCTCAAGACTTCTCACTTTCTACAAGCTTACTGATACATGTAAATGCTTATTATTTGATACCCAGCATGATTAGATTACATTAGATTATTTTTTCAACAGGAAGGTCAAAATGTCTTTCCAGGCATGGAAAATTCTAAGTTGAATTTAAAAATAAAATAGCCTTCAAAGTCTGAATAATATCAGTTATTTTACTTGTATTAAAAAAATGAAATGACCTCAGATTTTCATTATTTTAAGATAAGTAAGTCTAGTTACTACATCAAATGAACAGCATATAAATCATTTAGGTTAAGCAATACATACTGCTATGCAAATTTCTACAATATATTTTAAAATTATGCTTACTTTTCTATTTAAAATTTAGAGAAAGACTAAGAGAATCAAGTATGAACATGCCTACATTAATTATATGTAGTTTACATGTTCAAGTCTGAAGTTGGTAAAATAAGAAAAATTATAAAGAAATATAAAATTCTTAAATGATAAGCTTTACAGAAAATGGAAAAATTGATGTTTACCATGTCAGTGAGACAAAACATCCTGGCAAATGATCAAAGGAAAAAAATCCCGAGACTCTAATGTTGAAATCTCACCAAAGGAAGCTGAACTCTGACAAACCAAAATGCGAGGAAAATATTTTTTTCTTACTTAATAATAAGATGTGCTAAATTTATACTTCAGTAAATTTATTGCTAAGATAATAACTGAAAATATAGTACTTGTAAATCCACAAAAATACGTTTGTTTTTAAAAAGAGAGAGCACCACCCAAACCCCAAATTGTGGAAAACTGGGAAATTATAAAACCCATGAAAAATCAAAGGACTTTTTCATATAACATAAATCGTTGTATCATTTCATAATTAATTATTTGTTCTTACTTCTACCTGTATTTCTCTTTTTCTACTAATCCACAACACCTGAAATAAAATAAAGCCCCATTCTGAAGAGTTGGCTCAAAATGAGGTCCAAGATTTCTTATGTTCCCCTTTGCACTTTTCTTCCTCCTTTCTTGAAATAATGCCATAAAATTCAGTAATAAAAACCTACTTTATTTCTCCCCAAATCTGATCTGCCATATTTCTTATTTAAATTGTTTTCTGGATTACTAGACAGTATGAAGTATTTTAGCTTAAAAGATTCTTGACAGAACAACAGCAAAAAACTTGAGAAAATAAGAGTCAAATCCTGCACTTCTCCTAGAAGTTTCATATTGCCACTTTAGGGTTAAAAATGTAGTAGGTGTTTGGTACTCAGTGCTCTGTTTGGTGGTGGTGGTGCTTGTCTTATATAAGGAACTTTGTAGCATTCTTCTTGGCGAAAACCACTGCAAAATTTCAATATAAGAGTTAGGAACAGTAATTAACACATCAACTTTACAACTTACTTCTGAAAGAGACCATTTACTTCTGTGTTCCAGAAGATGAATGAGTAGAACCCATAATTCTTTAATGCAGGAACATCGGCAGTGGTGACTTGCTAACGCTTCAGAAGGCCTAACCTGTAGAGAAGAAGCAAATTCAATTCTGTAAGAATTTTACATGCTACATCTTTCTCTCCAAATGTTTTAAAAGGATTTAGATGACTTAAAACTGATGTTCAATTATATAAAATTGTTTACAAAATATGTGCCATTCCATTAAATTTTAAAATAAATTCTCATTTTACTTTTTTGTTAAAGTAGGTCCCATGCCCAGCGTGGAGCCCAACGTGGGGCTCAAACTCATGACTCTGAGATCAAGACCTGAGCAGAGATCAAGAGTCAGATGTCCAACTGACTGAGCCTGCCCCTAAATTCCCATTTTACAACCAAAAGTATAGAATGAACTTTATTTTCAACCTTTAAAAAAAACCTTTGCTTTAGGGGTGTCTGGGTGGCTGAGTTGTTAAGCCTCTGACTCATGGTTTCAGCTCAGGTCATGATCTGTGTCCTGAGATGGAACCCCAGGTCAGGCTCCATGCTCAGCATGGAATCTGCTTATCCCTCTCCCTCTGCCCCTCCCCACTGCTCGAGTGTGCTCTCCCTAAAATCAATCAATAAAATCTTAAAAAACAAAAATGAAACCAAAAACCTTTGCTTTAATCATCAGTGTTCAACAAACTTTTTCTGTAAAGGGCTAGATAGCAAATATATGAAGCTTTATTGGGACATAGTCTGTCACAACTCCTCAACTCTGCCACTGTCGTACAGCATCAGCCATAGACAATAGGTTAAAAAAAAAAAAAAAAAGGATGGGCTGTGGTCCAGTAAAATTTACAAAACAGACAATGTGTTAGATTTGGCCTCAGGGCAATGATTTCCTAACCCTGATCTAATCCATCAGCCACAAGAGAAAAACTTCTAATAAAAAGATTAGAAAACAAATTTTAATCCACTATAAAGCAGACTAAAAAGTTTTTACAAGTCAGAATAAATATAATTAGGGATTTATAAAGGTTAAGCAATTTTATTTTATTTATTTTTTAATATTTTATTTATTTGACAGAGAGAGACACAGCGAGAGAGGGAACACAAGTGTGGGGGGGGCGTGGTGGGATGGTGGGAGAGGGAAAAGCAGGCTTCCCGCCGAGCAGGGAGCCAGACGTGGGACTCGATCCCAGGACCCTGGGATCATGACCTGAGCCGAAGGCAGCCGCTTAACTGACTGAGCCACCCAGGCGCCCCAAGGTTAAGCAATTTTAGGTTAAGCTTTTTTTTTTAACAAATATCCTCAATGGCCCTAAATAATGCAAGGCATATGCACTATATTTGCAAGTATAGCTAGACTTCAGAAATTCATTATGTAATTACTATTTCACACATACTACATTCATGTTTCTAACATAATACAGTCAAAGATAACTGTTAAGATATTACTAAATCGAGAGGCTGCTGGGAAGATGGCAGAGTAGGACGTCCCTGGGCTCACCTCTGGCCGCTTGGCCGCCTAGAGAGCACCCAAGTCGGCATAAATAACCCAGAAAGCAGCCTGAAAACTGGCAGAACAGACTCTCCGCAGCCCGGCATAGACAAGCGGCCACAGCGAAGCAGATCCACCCCCTCTGATCGCTCTTGGCAAGATCCCATCAAAGCGGTGCCACAAGCCTGGCAATGTGCACGCGGCCCAGACAAGGGTCAGCACCACTCCAAAGTGAGTCCTGCCCCAGGGAGAGGGGAAGAAACCACACACCAGTCTGACTCTGGCAGTGGGCTGGGGGCAGGCAGTGGGTCTGACTGCAGGCCCCACCCACCAACAAAAGCTTCTCAGGGGACTACACAGGGACAGTGCCTGCAGTTTGGTGCTACTGCATCTCTGGCAAACGCCTGGTCTGACTCAACTCAAGCCCAGGGCAGCCCCGGACCAGCCCACTAACACCACGGGCACCAGACTCTGCCCACAACAGGTAGAGAGCCATCGTAGACAACAGGACTGAAGGCAAACACATCCTAGCCACAACGGTAGGACACCCCTGGAGCAACACACATAGTAGACACCCCCTGAAGCACCAGGTTCTGGGGGACAGACATTGCACTGCAGGACCTCTTCTTCATAAAGCCACAACTTTCAAGTGCAGGAGACGTAGCTGACTCTCCTAACACAGAAAAACAGACAACGCAAGAGAGAGAATGAGGAGACAGAGGAATATGTCCCAAATCAAAGAAAAGGACAAAATCAGAGCAGGAGACCTAAGTGACACTGAGGTAAGTAATATGTCTGATAGCGAATTTAAAGTAATGCTCATAAAGATAATTGCTAGAATTGAGGAAGGAGTCCAGGACCTCCATGAGACCCTCCACCAAGAGACAGAAGACATAAAAAAGAACCAGTTAGAGTATTGGACTCATTAAATGGAAATAAAAACAGACCATCTGGAATAAATAGCAAGCAAGAGGAAGTAGAAGAAAGGATCAGCCACCTGGAGGACAGAGCCATGGAAAGCAATCAAGCCAAGCAGATGAGAGGGGGAATATATATGCAAAATGAAAATAGACCCAGGGAACTCAGCAACACTGTCAGGCTTAACAGTCACATGATAGGGATCCCAGAAGAAGAGTGAGAAAAGGGGGCAGAAGATTTGTCTGAAGAAATAATAGCTGAAAACTTCCTGAATCTGGGGAAAGAAAGAGAAATCCAGATCCAGGAAGCACAGAGAGCCCTCAACATAACCAACCCAAAGAGGTCTGTGCCAAGACACAAAGTAAATAAGATGGCCAAAAGTAGTGATAAAGAGAGAATTTTAAAAGCAGCAAGAGAAAGGAAAGCAGGTACATACAAGGGAAACCCCATATGGCTACAAGTGGGTTTTTCAGCAGAAACTCTGCAGGCCAGAAGAAAGTGGCATGATAAATTCCAACTGCTAAAAGGAAAAAATCTACAGCCAAGAATACTCTATCCAGCAAGGCTTTCATTTAGAATAGAGGGAGAGATAGAGTTTCCCAGAAAAACAAAAATTAAAAGCAAAACCAGCCACGTCCCTGTCACACACGATGCCATTGGCCTGTGGGCCCCAAATTCAGTCCAGCCGCCCTCCTGCCCAAGTCAGCATGCACAGCCTGCCACCTGCTCAATGCCAAGTCAACACGCCTTCACCTCAGATTGCCAAGGGCTCAAATTGACACTCTTCTCAAATTCCTGTCCCTGTGCTCAAGTCTGTGCACGAAAGTGGGCATAATAACAGCAGAATGAAGCAACCCAAACATCTAACTATTTCTGTGGAATATATAATGGATAAAAGGAGTGTGCTAGGCTGAGAACATCTCCAACAAGCACATCAAAGAACAACACATACAGCATGATTCTGGTTAGTAAAAAAAAAACCAAAAAACAAAAAACCTGGGAAGAATAAAACAAGATGAAACCAGAGAGGCAGACAAACCATAAGAGACTTCTTAAGCATAGGAAAGAAACTAAGGCTTGCTGGAGGGGAGGTGGGGGGGGGATGGGGTAACTGGGTGGTGGGCATGAAGGAGGGCATGTGATGGAATGAGCACTGGGTGTTGTATGCAACTGATGAATCACTGAACTCTACCTCTGAAACTAGTAATACACTATATTGTTAATTGAACTTAAAAAAAGAGGAACCCCCCCCCCAAAAATATTACTAAATCATGTCTGGTCAATCCACTAAATAACATCAATTATAAAATTATATAGACCAGATTTAGAAGATTTTGATAATACATAAAACACAATCTAAATTTTAAAAAATTATAAATCCTGATTTCCCATAAGGTTTATGCTAACAATTTGAAATAACTGATAAATCAACACATTTCCATTGCTGGAAAATGAGTAGGCATTGTAGCATCTTCAAATCACTGTCTGCATTAAACACTCAAACACAATTTAGTAAGAAGATGTAATTTCCCCCATGTTTCTATACTTTTTTGAAAAACAAAATCTCGGGGCGCCTGGGTGGCTCAGTCATTAAGCGTCTGCCTTAGGCTCAGGTCATGATCCCAGGGTCCTGGGATCGAGCCCCGCATCGGGCTCCCTGCTCAGCGGGAAGCCTGCTTCTCCCTCTCCCACTCCCTCTGCTTGTGTTCCCTCTCTCGCTGTGTCTCTCTCTGTCAAAATAAATAAAATCTTTAAAAAAAAAAAGAAAAACAAAATCTCCCTTTAAATTTGTCAACTAAAATTAGTTGACTCATTTATTGTATTATGTAACAATAAACATATACTCATTTATAGTACTCATTTATTATATTATGTAACAATATATATATGTTACTAAAGGGCTGGACTCTCCTATTTGCATAGAAGTTAAATTTCCAGTTATTGTCATAAACATCCTGTTTTTACTTATTTTTGACAAGATGGAAAAAGCTATTTTTTAAAACAAAACAACTGCCTCTGATAAATTAATTTTAGTCTGTTTTAAATGTTTAAATCAAATTCTTTTCTAATTCAACTCCGAGACCATAATAAATATAGAATTAGGAGAATTAACAAGTAAACCAATCAGATTCTTATAAATGACACACATTAAGGACTATTATCATTAAGCATCAAAAAAACAAACTTTTTTTTAATTTAGATTCAAGTAGCCAACATATAGTACACACCATTAGTTTCAGATGTAGTAATATAAACTCTTATAACATTACCTTGTCATACCTGTTGAGTGACAGGCTTATTAAATCACAAAGGAGATTTTCACAATGTTCTCCAAATAGGCTGATGTTGGTTAAATTGTCACCTGCCAGATTCATAAATTGATGACCGTATACAACTTGTTCTAAAAATATAATAAAATATATCCTACTTAAAACTACAGATTTTACTAATTCAGAAGGAGGAAAGTAACTATACTCCTTTAAATTGACTTAAAACAAAACTGCAACATATACAGTTAAAAACAAATTTCTTTAGAAATAAAAGTTAAATTTGAGGACAATTCCTTTCTTATATGATCACTGATATACATTACCCAAAGAAAGTTTTCAATTTTCTCAAGTGCCACTTAATAGACTTCTCTTTTCTTAATGTGGTCATCTTTAAAATGTAACAATGTAACATCACTTAAGGAAAAAAAAAATAAAAGTGGGGAAATGCTAGAAAATCTTCACCAATATTTCTGACCAATGAAGGCTTTAAAACATTTTGCAAACAAATACTGATTAACTAATCACATACAAATGTTTTGTGGTGTGAACAGAGAAAACCAAGGTAATAGATACTAAAATGTGTACCTATCAGATTAAGTACACCTTGAAGTATTGCTCCAAGGAATTATTATCTGAAATACAAAGTCCATGTGAGAGAAGAAACTATGTATTTGTAGACATCTTTGTATGTTTGTGTGCATGTATATATATGTGTACACACATACACATATATACATACGTGTATTTTTGTATTTATTAGTTTACTGAAAATCAGGTATTGAGATAATGGATGTTTTTATAACCTAAAACCTAAATTGATAATTTACAAATAGGTAATATTTACAAAATATTGCTAAGTTGATAATGGACTCTAAAGATGCCAAATAGCAAGACCAAGAAATAAACAGGCAATACGTGAAATAAAAAAGTATTATCCATAATATATACAAACTACTAATTTTTTTTAAAAAAGAAACATGAGCAAAAGATAATGAATAATAAAGCAAATATAAAAAACAGTAAAATTATGTAAAAATGTTCAACTTCATTGGTACTCAAAAAATTGCAGAACAGAGATTCAATATCATTTTTCGTGTATTATGTGGCAAAAAATAAAAATAACTGATAATATCCACTACTGGCAAGAGAATGAGGCAAAGGCATGCTTGCAGTGTACACAAATTGGGGAAACTCTGTACAGCAACTAAGCAGTGGTTACGATAATAAAGCTGAATGTGCCACTCCAATTCTAAGAATCTACTCTACAGAATAACTTGTACATGTATTCAAAGATGTATATATACGTATATATGTATATATATATATATATATATATACAAGGATGTTCCGTGAAATATTACTTGTAGTACCAAAAAAATAGAAATAATGGAAATATTAAAAAATAGACTTGGCTAAATAAATTATGATAGAGCCATAACATACAGCCCTTAAATGAATGAAGTACAACTATATGTACTGACACGAACAGATCTCTAAAAAACTGTTGAATCAAACATTACACAGAACACTACCATTTGTGGTTAGAAACAAAGACAAAAATCCTACCCAAGAGTTTCTATATATATATATATATATATATATATATATATATATATATACAGACTAATATAGAAGTATGGAAAGATAAATGGACCAAACTGTTTTCTTGAAAAAAGGAATAAGACCTTGACTTTTTACTTTGGTTACTATTTGATGTAAAGTAAAAATTAAAAAACCCAGAAAGCAATGATGACCTGTAATTTAAAAAAAAAACAATTAAGGGTTTAGATTTAAAAAGGATATAAATCAGAAATCCATAAACTTACTCAATTTTTCACCCAGCATGTGAAGAATTTCTAGCACCATCCAATGGATATCTAAGTGGAGATGTAATAAATGCCATGATGGTGGAAAAAGCTGTGAAGGACATTATCAACCGTGACTGAGAATTCATAATACTTTAGTAGGCATTTTACAGCATGCTATGACACTCCTCCATAAGCATAAGTATCAGGAACCAAGTAACCTACCCACTCTTCAAAAGCTTAGGGAAAAACAGGGTCTTTTTCATTAGAGGATTCTTTCACTGGAGATCTTTGAAAGCATTTTTTCATTTGATGCTTTAGGACAGACCCACCTTGGGGTTGCTAAGTAGACTTGTACAGTAAAGGTCCCTTCCAACCAACCTTTGATCTTACTACAGCTGCAAGGCAGTAAAAGAATTTTTTAACCACTTATTTTCATAATCTTGTTTTAGACTTTAGCTAGGAAATATGTTTTTAAATGTAATGAGTACCCTGGAACTCCTATGAAGTATTCTAACAGGAGAAATAGACTATCATGTAGACACTATTGAGATGCCCATTAAGAAACTGAAGTTAAAAGCAGTGAAGAAATTTACCTTTTAATTCACACGTTAAGATTAAAATCTGATTCTGATTCAAAAGCCAGTGCTCTTAACTACTGTGCTGTAGTAGGGTTGTCAATAACTTTCCCTGAGCCAACATTTAGTATCACTTTAAAAATAAGTAACAATGATATACATGTTCTATTAAGAGAAGAAGGAAGAATGATAGAGAGGGGACTTGTCTTATCAAATGTGCAAACCAAATAAAATGCTACACTAATAAAACAGTATTGGCTCAGAAATAGATAATAAATAAACAGCAAAAATAGGCAAGAGAGAAATAAACATGGTATCTCCAATCAGTGGGGAAAACATGAGCCATTCAATAAAAGACTGGTTATTAACTTATTCATTTGCAAGAAACTAAAGTTAGATTTCCCACCTCACAGCATATTTTTTAAAACAAGATGAATTAAAAAGATAAATGTAAAAAACAAGTATATTTTTAACAACCACACAGAGATGACACACAAGAAAAACCTGACAAATGTGACTATATACAAAACTTAAACCATCTCCATAGCAAGGCAGATTAATTGCTAAAAAAGAAAAGATAAATTGATGAAAGTATCTGTAATACATAATACCCAACAAATATCTCTAATAAAGTTCCTTAAAAATAAAAGACAGATGCTTAACTGAAAATGCCAATTAAATACTTTTCATATATAAGATAGGTAAAACACAAGAAATACAGTCTTAAAAGATACTTTTCATTTTGTAAGATTTTTTTTGCTGTTGTTTCAGAAAAGAACAGTATTTCAGTGTGTGATTTTTTTGTGTATGGGCATTAAAAATTCAGCCTTCTGATCTTCAAATAACCTCTTTTCAAGTTTGCCTAATTAAAAAGGCTATGAAAGGCAAAACCTAGTTTGAGAACCTTTGCAGTCTTTATTTCCACTGCTAGATAAATTATTAATTTTTATTTTCTTAAGCATTTGATGAAGATCCAGAAAATAAAGCCAGTCCAATTTATAGAGACCAAAATGAAGGAAAAATATCCCTCTACCCATAATCTATCCACGAATATTTATTAAGTGTTATGATTACAAGCAATTATCTATTTGCTTTCTATGGATTAGACATATTAACCTGTGAATTCAGTTTGGACTTTTTATTTTTAATATTACATATATTGGTCCCTGATAAGAAGAGTGCATTTTGTTGTTGTTGTTGTTAAATTTCACAGAAATACATAAACATTTATTCATACCTTACATTTTGGCAAAGACACATTCCTAAAAACTGAATGTTATTCAAATTGGTAAAGTCAAATCGAATGAAAGAAGTTGAGAGTTCAGGGAAACCCACAGGGAATTTGCCATTCATATAAGCTCACATTTTCTTATGGAGAATTTGTTAAATTACATCTATAAACTGGGTCATGCTATCAATACAAATTTTAAAAGAACAAATCTTCTACAGGAATGATTTCACAGGTAGAAAAAAGGGGAAGAGTCAAAACAATCTTAATCATATTGCAAAAAGATCTCAAAAGTAAGAATAGACATAATGCTGTGGTTTTGAAGTTGTAGCTTTTATAGAAAGGTGATCTTGAATTTTACTGTAATAAACACTAGGATTTGCCCAAACCTTTATCGATGGGAAAAATGATAAAAATTTTTTAAAATAAAGGTTATTTTACTTTGAAACTTACACACATCTGCACGTTATAAAGTGGAATTGAGAACAGCGACCACTGTTTCAGTCTATATTATATTCTAAGCACTTTATTTAATTAATTTTAACTTATCTAATTTTCCCAATAACTCTAGGAAGCAAACCAATTATACACGTGAGGAGACTGAGGCAAGATGTGTTGCTTGCCCAATGGCACATAATTAGAAGAGGAGCCAGAATTTCAACTCAGGCAGTCTAGTCCCTGAGCTGCACTCTTGACTATTTTCCCTCATTCTTGAATGAATGAATATTCCTTGCGAAAAGAAAAAAAAACCCCGAGGATTTAAAAATTAAATTAAACAAGCCAAACCTTAATTTGGTTTTGATTTACAAATGCTCCTGGACTAATACTGGGAAGTTCAGACAGATGTCCAATATACAAGAGTAACCCATGAAGTTCATCAACCAGCACAGACGGAAGTTGTGCCTCCAAAGTTTCATACGGATGGACAGGAACAGGACTCTCAGCATTTTGTACTTTCAGATACCTAAAAAAAGATAGATACAATAAATAACCAGACTCTGGATGAACATGCACTCAGAAATTCATGCAGTAATCAAAATACTCATCTGACATCTTACCTAAAGACGAAAACTTTAACATAATGAAGAAATGTCACGCACTGCTGCCTAATATTGTCTGCTTTGCAGTGTAGGGTGGATATCTTCCCTGAAACCAAAATAGATGTTATCAAAGTTTAAATAATTAATCCATGGGCAGTGACAAAAAAAATTTGTAAGCCATACAAGCAGCAGTTCATTTGTGATTTCATCTGTTCCAAATTTATCACTCTATCATACATTCTGATCCAACCATACATAATTACCACTTCCTGCTCCCTGAACTTAGGTTTCAATACACCTCAATGATTTCGTCTATACAGTTGTTTCCACCTGGAACTCTTCCGCTCCCCAAAACTTTTGCCTACCTACCTATTTTTTCCTCATCTCTGTAGACCAAGATCTGGCATCACTCTGTGATGGGCCCCTAAACAGATGAAGCCCCTGGCTCCCATAGCAGCTTATACATGCCACGATTACTACACTTTTCCGTCTACCATGCTGTCCTATGCTTGTGTGTCTCTATGTCCTACCAACTACAAACTCCTCAGCAGATTCTTCCACTTTGATTCATCGTCACCTTACACAGTACCTGGCCTGAGACAGAGCCTCAGGTGATAAATAGTACTCAACATTTACTGAGCACACAGTGAGAAAACAAAACAGCCCTGACGGCAGATAGCTAACAACTAGGTCATGATGTTCCCTACTGAAACTAAAGTTTTCATGAAATATCAAAAATAATCAGATGGGGCCACTCTGTGATTATGGTGAAACAAGACAAAAACAAAATCTCTCTGTAATCATGTCTGAATACAGAAACCAGGCACTATGCAATCACGGAAAAACAAACAAAATACAAAAACAAAATATTTCCCTCTTGCAGCTAACATGACTATTACTTTACTAATTAGAACCCTCCTTAGCCTGTCTTTCTGGGTCCCACCTCCTAGACAAAAATTAACATATTCAATTCATTACACTGTCCCTGCTTAACACCATCCAATCCAATATAAAGTCCTAGTCCCCTTAAACTCTCTTCAAATCACCAGTGCAAGTGCAAACCCTATCACAAGCCCCTTCCTACTCTCCCTGAGAAGCCCCAACTGTTTCTCATGATGTGTACTTCCTTCTTGTGTCAGTAAGCTACTCAACCTTTCATTGACCAAAGGTGTGTTCCAGGTGATCTTTAGTTGCATCACTAATAACAGGTATTAGCCTGAGCACTTAACATGCATTATATCATTTATCCTCACAAGAACTCCATGAGGTGGGACCTGTTACCTGGTGTGAAACCGATAATTAGCTAGGGTTGGAACCCAGGCTGACCACAGTGTGATGAGTCTAATTCCTACACTGGAACACAATTGCCAGAAAGGAGAAGCAGCTAGCCTGCGCTAAAACACTATCTTCAATTCCCTTCACTACCTTAACTATACCAAACCCCTCCATGAGTAACCCATTAAATGTCAAAAACAAACCAAAAGCAGACCAAGAAGACAGCATGAGGTCCCACTCCCCGCCCCCAAAGCAAGTTGTTAATTCACTTTAGAAATGTTTAGCCTTAAATCAATTTTATCACAGACATAGAAAAATACTATAAATCTCAGCTACAACAAAATTTAAGTGTTATATTTTTTCTGAACACTAAACACTATCCTGAACTTCTAACTTAATGCTTCTTCCTCCATGTTCTTATATCCCAATTACTCATCATAGATGAGCAATTCAATTCCTTTTTGCTATTAAAAACACTTAAAACTTACCAAAATCACAGCTGGCTTGTAATAAGGTTTCCAAGTTGTACAGTTGCTGCCTAATTTAAAAAAACATAAGGTGAGAGTTAATTTTGGAAAAATTTAAAGCATGTATTATAGGGATATTTCCAAATCTATTACATAGCTTTAGTATGTGCATAGCCTCTCATTTGTGAATGAAGTTTAAAATACTTTGTGGATATTTATACAGGGTCAGATAGTCAAGACTGAGAAAAGATAAAACATGCCTTTGTTTGACCTTCCAAAAATATCTATTAAAAGCTGCATATATGTATATATAATTATAAATATCATAGATTTTACTATCAATGAGATATTGTTTATATACCTTATATACTTACATAAAAATCCTAGGTTAACAGTTACATAATGAAATGTTAAATTGTATTGGACAATTATACTATAGGAGTTCAGAAAAGGAAGAGTAACTTAGAGTTATCAAGGAAAGCTGTATTTATGATGTCCCCCCTTAATATCTGAAAGTAATCTCTTGTCCTTCTTCCTAATTGCCTTTCAACTCCTTAAATGTTGACTCATCTTCATGACCTATGTCCTGAATAAAGACTCAACTCACTCTATAATGTTCACGTTTACAGAGAATCACTCACTCAAACTGTTCTCCCAGTAAAACACATAACAAGGCACAGATACACTGTCTCTTCACAAGGCCTCAAGGGATGAGGGTGGGAGGAGGAATCTTTCCACCTTTCCATTTTCATTTAAATGTACCACATACATATTCTTAATGTATTTTTGGATAATTTGCCTTCAACAACTGATTCCATTTCAAAATCATGTAAAATCTAAATATGGACTGAGTTTTAAATGATAAGGAATTATCTTATTAAATGATAATGAATGTTAATTGTGATAATGAGATACTGTTTGTTTTTTTAAAAGTTCATATTTTTAAGAAATGCTTATTGAAATATTTAAGGGTGAGATTACATGATGCCTGGAATCTGCTAAAAATACTCAAACCAAAAAAAAAGAGGGAAAGGGACAGATGAAGGAAGTGTGATAAAACCTTGGTGTTGTACTGCCACTGAGAGAGGGTATGTGAAGTTTCATTATGGTATTCTCTCTACATTTGTATATGTTTGGAAAATTTCATTAAAATTTTTAATGTTGTCCAACTTAATCATATTAATTAATCATATTACTATACAGTCTGAAAGATATATTTGGAAAGTCTGATTTCATTCTCTAAAAATCAGTGAAAGACTATGACGATTCAGCAACAAAAGTAGTATTTTAGTTTTCTTCCAAAATTATAATATGGTTCAAAGCATTAAATATTTGTCTTCAATACATGATGTCAAATGTTGAATAAAAAGTCTGAAAAAGAATGAACACTCACTAAAAAACGAATCATTAAAATCACTGCTCCAAACATTACATGATCGTTGTTACTGATAAGATAATCAAGAGAGCAACATGAACAACTCACGCTTTTGTAATATTGGTATCAGAAACCACCCAGCAAAGTAACTTACACAACTGAAAAGCATCTATGCTCAAAGGCAGTTAAAAACAAAACAAAACATACCTGAATAAATGAAAGAGCACTCTAGATGAATTCACCAATGCTGTTTCAGTAACCCACTGAATGCCAAATATTTCCACTGTATCTTCTTCAAAATTAGTTGGTAAAGGATCAAGATTCAAAATTAATCTGAAATGAAAACTCTAATCTTATAAAAAGTATGCTAAATCCCAACTATAGCATATCTTTTTTGTCATTATATAAATCCATATTGTATGTGACATGTCAACAATGATACCATAAAATTATGATATGCCTTGGTACCTTACATATCCAGGAATTACTACATTTAGATTGTATGAAAAATTCAGTCATATATAGTGATAAAAAAGTGTAACTAAAGAACAATGTAACTTAGGGGAAAAATTCAAAAAGTAAGTCTAGGGAACATACTTTTTTGGCCTATGGTCTTCAGTCGAAGAATTTCATCCTTTGAGGGGACATTTAATGTTTAAAACAGCTAAAAGTTACTCTGGGCCATGTCTGGAGCATAATCAAACTGAATAATCTCTTTTAAGGTCTCAAACAAGGTACAACTATAAAATCAACAAAAATGGCTTCCTTTCTGAAATTGCCTCAGCAGGTATTCCCAAAATATTTCAACAACTGCAGTTTTACAGCAACTTGTGTACAGCTGCCTAAGGCAAGAACTCTAAAGAATAACATTCTTGTGAACTTACACAATCTGGTGAATTTATTCAAAAGTTAAAACAAAAATAAGTCTATGACTTCTGTGTATAGATACACAGAATTAGAAGGAACTGGGGCAACAAAACAATGTCTACGCCTAACTTAAGAATTACTGAGAAGCTCCAGATTATTATTTCATGTTTTAGAAGGATATTCCAATTCAAAAAGCCCACCTAGCTTTCACTTTAAGTAAAAGGGAAATTAGTGGCCAGCTTCCTACCCCAAAACTGAGGTAGCTGTAAGATAAGAAAACATCCGGTAGCAAGAAGTTCTCAATATCCAAAAATTTTAGGTATGCTTTAACCAGGAAACTGACAACAGAACTGATAGCCTGCACCCATGTTATATACTAAGCCGTTTTGCAAAAACATGGCTTGAGCATCGAAGTTTAACTTGGCTGAAACCATAATTAAATAACATTCCTAACAAACTGATGAAAAATTTGATAAGGGAAAAACACAGTCCCCGATTTTTTACCTACCGCTTAAGGGCTCCGCTGGAAAGGTAGGACTCTCCAGAAAAATGACTTCCTCCTCCTCTGTTGTCAAAACCACAAGAAAAGCAAGGGGGTTTGCACCATTCTGTCCCCAGCTCCAGTTCCAAGCTGTCGGTCAGGAACATCGACGCAGTGCAACAGTTATCCATTATTTACTTTCTGTCCTGAAATGTTTGGTACTCATATCATTCAAGACTCCAAAGATACTGTGATTAGATTCCAGGAGGTGAGCGGGCCAAGAGACTGGCGGTGATCTCAGAAAGTTCTCAAAACGTTCCCCCAGCACAAAGAAGAAAGCCCGAGAAGCCAATTCCTCAACAACTCTCCCCACACCGACACCCCAATATCAAGGCTGTCAGACAGAATGCACCCCCGACTGGCTGTGGCAGGAATTTCACATCTGCCATCTCGGTCGGATTCTGCAGCCGGACAGCGCGAAAAGGAAAGAAATGGTTGCAGGACAGATCCAGCTTCAGCTCCCAACCCCGCCTCGACCTGCACCGCCCGCTACGTTACCGAAAAGTACCGAGCTAGTTTCCCAACAGTGTCTTGGAAAAGCTCCCTTGCGCACTCCGGGTGGGGATCAGGGACCGCCCGGCGCCAATTTTTTAGTCCTCCCAGACGGGAGGCAAGTTCCGCCAGGTCCCCACTCGGCGGCGACCAGCGCGGGCCGGGCACAGGGCGAAGGAAGCCGGTGGCCTGCGCACCGGAGCGGCCCTCGTTTGAGGCACGGCATACCTGCTCACAGTTTCGGTCCCCGAGATCCGCCCCCAGCTGCCCGGTCTACAACCTCGGCGTTGGTGAGGTCTAAATCAGAAACAGGCGAAATTCCCGCCACTGCGCGCCCGCGCCCAGGAAGGGCGGGGCCACGGCGCAGCCCGCCCCCGGAGATCCGCTCTCTAGGTCTCTGCAGGAACCGCCGGCGCTCCGCGAATTCTCGCGAGAGTCAGCCGCCCAAGGACTCGGTGCTGCGAGCCCCTTTTTCTTTCTTCCTTTTTTTTTTTTTTTCTGTGCATGTAGCTTTAATTGGTGAATTCGGCTGGAAGGCGGGGCCTCACGGGGAAAGAAAACTGGAGGCTGAGGTGAGCAAGGCCTAGGCACCTCTGGGTAGTTTTCGCGCGGGACGCAAAAGAGTTTTGCTCAAGTGAGTCCGAAGTGGGTGTCTCATTTACACCCAGAGCCGCGCCATCCCCTCCTGTTACCGTGCTAGTACCAGCAACTCTTTTGTTAAGATCGAGGATGCCTATTGTTCGTGGTTTGTGGACAAGGCATGTGCAAAAATGAGGCTAATCCAGTGTATAGTAGCACTGAATAAGTCAGATGGTCCTTGCTTTTGGCATAAAACTGTCGCTCCCCTTATTTGCAACACATCTGGACAGGTTTAAATCGCTTAAACCTGGTCGCTTTTGTGAGGTATAGCCCATGTGCAGCATTTTTATCTTTTTAAAAGTATTCTTTAAAATCTATTCAGAAGACTTTCCAGTCTAAATCAGAGATAACAAATTTAAGCGTATCACTGGCTTAAGATTCAAGAAAAACGTGATAATTGCTCCTTCAGATCTCCTGTAATTTTGAGTATTCGCCATTGCCCATTCCTCCAGAATAGTTTGTCCTGTGTTTAATTCCTGTACAGAGAACCTGTCATAACTCCTCTGTTCAAACCAAATACTGCACATGTTCTAAGAAATGGGATGAGGTGTGTGTGGGGGGGGTGGGGGGGAACACAATATGATCTCTATTCTGACTGCAACCTAGGGCTACTGTGATGGGTCCTATGTCCATTATGTTCACACGATGTGCCCTGAGATGTCTTCTTGGCGACCACTGCAGCTTTTTAGGGTCCAGGTGGAGTTCTAGCATGACACATTGTCATCTATAACAATCCCTAGGAAACAGTGTCTAGATATGAGAATATTGGGCCCTGGCACTATTTAGGAGAATTGGGTCAATAGACAGTCATTATTATTTCTTCCTCTAATCAAAACATTTGGATAGACCCCTTTTTCCTTTTTCAAGTGCCTGATGAGTGATCAACTTGGTTGAACCAGTTAAGTAGAATGCGAAGAACCAAGTAAGTTACCTGTAAATAAGGTAAGCTAGTACTCTAATGCATTTCAGTAAGAATCCCCAGCAAGTTAATAGGCAGCATACTGAAGAGAGGTAATTAAAGATACTTAATGAAAGGACATTTATAAAGGTATGGACAGGGTTACTGGAAAACAAAAAGTAATCATGAAGCATCCAGAACTAATCAGAGTCATTATCACCCTTAGGCCTAAGAGATTTGGGGGAAGAGGGATTACTAGAGCCCAAGGAGACTTGTTCAGGTAGGAGGCAGCTACCTACCTAATAGCCACCTATGGTACCTTCATAGAGGAACATAGCGACTGCCAACCTGCCACCCAACAGGGAGGAGCTGGAAGGATTAAGTACGCAAACCACTTTCCCTCCATACTGCAGTGTCCAACTGGTGGTTTTCATTGGCTAAAACCAACCTAAAAATAGAGGGCAAGGATGTAACCTTATAAAGTTCAGGCTCCTAGGATAGAGTCCAGCCTGAAGAAGGGTAGAGAGTGAATCTGACAGAAAGGGGTAAATTTTATCAAGAAGACATAACAATACTAAATGTATAACAGAACTTTATATATACATATAAAGGGATGAATTTATTAATTATAGGAGAAATACTCAAATCAATAATTAGTTACAGACTTCAGCACTTACCTCTCTGTAATTGGTGGAACCGGTGGAGAGAGTTAGTATAGACTTGAACAGCACTATCAACCAACTTGATCTAATTGATATATTTATAGGTGACACAACCTGACAATAGCAGAATACACTCTTTACAAGTACACATGGAACACTAAGGTAGACCACATTCTTTGCCAGAAATCAAATTTCGTCAACTTTAAAAGGATTGAAATCATACAGAGTATATGGTCTGACCACAATGGAATTAAACTAGAAACCAATACATATCTGAAAGAAATCTCTAAATATTTGGAAATTAAGTAGCACTTCTAATTAACCCATGGATCAAAGAAGAAATCACTAGGAAAATGAGAAAATATTTTGAATTAAGTGAAAGTTAAAGCACATTAAAATTTATAATTTTAACTGCTTACTTTAGAGAAGAAGAAAGAGTTCAGTTCAATGATTTAAATTTCTCTCTTAAGAAACTAGAAAAAAACCCAGCAAAATAAAACAAAATCAAGAAAAATGAAGGAAATAATAAAGGGGAGAAATAAATGGAATGAAACAGAAGAATAGAGGAAATAAATGCAATCAAAGAGTGGTTCATTGAGGCACACCTGGGTGGCTCAGTCGGTTGGGTGTCCGACTCTTGATCTCAGCTCAGGTCATGAACTTGGAGTCATGAGTTTAGGCCCAACATTGGGCTCCATGCTGGATGTGGAGCCTACTTAAAAAAAAAAAAAAAAAATGTTGGTTCTTTGAAAAGATCAGTATAATTGATACACTCTAGCCAGACTGATAAAGAAAAAAAAAAGAAAACACAAATTACCAGTATTAGGAATTAAAAATATATTATCACTCTAGACTCTACAGGCATTATAAAGATATTAAGAACATTTTTATGCCAAGAAACAGATGAAATAGACAAATTCATTGAAAGACACCAACTGCCAAAACTCACAAAAGAAGATAAAACTTGAATGGCTCTATATCCATCATAGTAATTTTAATCTTTAGTTAAAAAAATTCCCCTCTCTCTTTCTCTCCCCACCCCTCACTTTCTCACATACCACATACACACACATAATTCCTACAAGGAAAATTCCAGGACCAGAGGACTGTACTGTTGAATTCTCCCAAAAATTTAAGGAAGGTATAATATCAATTCTCTACCAACTCTTCCAGAAAATAGAAGAGGATGAAATACTTCAAAACTCATATAATGTGGCCAGCATTACACAGATATCAAAACTTGACAAAGAAAATTATAATCCAGTATTATTCACATGGAGACAGAAATTTTACCAAATAAAATCCAGCAATATATGAAAAGGATGACATATACTAAAAAAATCAGGTTCATCTTAGGAATGTAGGGTTGGTTCAAATTTCTAAACATAATTGGAGTAGTTCATTATATCAACAGATTGTAAAAAGAAAACCACATCACCTCAATCTGCAGAAAAAAATCACTTGAAAAATTAAATATCCATTCATGATAAAAACTTGTCAAACTAGGAATAAAAGAAAATTTCCTTGACCTGATAAATGGTAACTATGACAAACCTACTATTGAAATCATAAAAATGAATGCTTTCTCCAGAAGACTGAGAACAAGACAATGAAGTCTACTTTCTCTACTTCTATTCAGCATTGTACTGGAGGTAACTAACCAATCCAATAAGGTATGAGAATGAAAGAGTTGGGAAAGGAGGAGGCAAAACTGCTATCATTCAGGAAAACAATTGTGTTTTTCTAGACAAGCAATGAACACTTAGAAACTATAATTTAAAAAGCAATACCATTTTGGGCGCCTGGGTGGCTCAGTTGGTTAAGCGACTGCCTTCAGCTCAGGTCATGGTCCCGGAGTCCTGGGATCGAGTCCCACATCAGGCTCCAGGCTCAGCGGGGAGCCTGCTTCTCCCTCTGACCCTCTCCCCTCTCATGCTGTTTCTCTCTCTCTCTCTCTCTCAAATAAATAAATAAATAAAATCTTTAAAAAAAAAAAAGCAATACCATTTTAATAGCATCCCAATAGATCCAGCCCTGTGTGGGGCTCTGTGCTCAGCAGGGAATCTGCTGGAGATTCTCTCTCTCCCTCCCTCTTCCTCTGCCCCTCCTCCTGTTCTTGCACTTGAGCGCGCTCTTACACACACTCTCTGTCTCTCTAAAACAAATAAATCTTAGAAATATATAAATAAATTAATTAAATAAAATAAAACAAAATTAGGGCAGGAGGGAGATGTGGGCATCAAGAGATGGTGTTTTGAAGACAGGAAATATATCATGTTTGTGAGGCTATGGCAATTACCAAGTATAAAGGGAAAAGTTGATGTTGAAGAGAAGGGGAATGGTTGTGGAACTGCAGACATTGGGAAGACAACAGTATTCACTACATAAATGACATATCTTTTAATAGGATCAGGGACAATTTTTCATTAATAGGAAAAATGAAAGGTATGCAGAGAAAGATAGCTGAAGTTGGTGAACTGGGTGGTTGGAATTTGAGGTAGTTTTTGTTTTATTTCATCTATTTTCCTTGTGACATATCACCTGGAAGTGAGAGGAAAGAGTGGTTGTTAGAGATTTGAGATGTGTCCTTATCCTATTAGTGAGTAAAAAAAGTATTTTTACTAGGGAACTATAGTAGGAATGTCTGGGGGTGTTGAGTGACTATTTGAGATTTATGATGAAAAATTAAGAGTTCTGTTAGCTTAGTTTTGTGATTTTCTCCAACAACATTCAGAAGGGGAGGACATATGATAGAATTTGAGTGTTATATTAGTGAACCCATTCTGACTTACTGTTTCCTTTTAAATGTATTTATAAACTATTTGATTATTATCATCATACTCAGTCAAATAACTTAATATGAATGTCATGTTTTTAGTAGGGAAACTTTATAAATTCAACTGAATCTAATATATCCCAAAGGTTAAAGCCCTCAATTTCAGAAGTGTTATCACCATTTTAATTGAAATCTTAGTTAAAGTTTAAGACCATTCCTTCATGCCTTAAATGAAACAGAGAGTCACATTACCTTTATAGTTACTGCTTATAAGCCTAGAATTGGATTTAGCATTTTGGTAAAAT